GGCAATCAGTGTCCACAGTCACCCTGCCCCTTCATCCCCGACAGTGCCCCCAGGAGGGGCCAGTTGAGATTCCAACCACCAGGTGTCCCTGCTGCCACCTCCCTAGCGGCACAGGTATCAACACACTTGGGCAGGAGCGTGGGGCAGGGCCAGCCTCTGACTTGGGGCTTCCACTGAAAGCTTGGAAGAGGTGGCGCGGGCGTGGGCTCTTGAAGGATGAGTAGGAGTTTGCCACTCTGGCGGGAGGGGAACACTTCACAGTGATGGGGTTGGCCGAGTGCAGGGGAGTTTGGCATGACTGGGGCACAGACAAAGTGACGTGACAGGGCAGGGGTGAGGGCCAGGCAGGACCTTGCAGGCCATCCTGGGGGTGGAGTACTGCCCAGAAACATCACGGGGTGAGCTGTGAGTTGGATGAGCCCCCTCCCCGCATCCCCAAGACTTCTGTGGGGAAGAGTCTGGATGGCCTCTTTCCTCCTGTGTGGCTGCACTGGAGTCCACGCACGCGAGCGTCCAGCCTTCTGGAGAGGCCAGTCATCCTGAGCACAGCAGGGCAGAGGGATGGTGGGAGCAGAGCCCCGAGCAGGGGGAGGGGAGGACACCCAGGCGTCGGGGCACCCAGGGATCGGGGCGACTGCGGCTGGGTGTGTCTGGGGAGTGAGTTCTGGCTCAAGCGTGAGTGGCAGGAACCTTGGCTGGGAAAGGAGGCGTCCGTGGGCCCCGAATGATTTACCTACAGGAAGCAGCAGAGCAGCACTGGGGTGTCGGAGGCGGGACCCACACGTGACCTTTGGAGCACACGTTTCCATTTCTCGTGTGATCTGGGAGCAGATGCTTTTCAAGAGGAAAAGCCGCCCCTCATTCAGCCCCCGGCTCTTTGTCCAGCGCTGGCTCATTCCCGGGCCAGCCTCTGGGGTCCTCCCTCGCCCCACTAGCGAGCACTCACCGTGCTCACGGTCTGGGCGTCTCGTTGGTCTTGACGGTGACTCCTGGAGACATGCATGATTGACACCAACTCGTAGAGGACCCAAGGCTCAGAGAGGTTAAAACACAGGGGAAGGTCACACAGTAAAGGAAGTAGCCGTGCTGGGATTTCTGCCCGGACGAGTCGGGCTCCAAAAGTGGGGCCTGTTGATACCAATCCTTTTGACCTGTGCAACTCGCTGTCCAGGCCGGGGCTGGCCCTGGGGAAGTGGCTTCGCCTCTCTGAGCCTCAGTGTGCGCCCCCTGTAAAATAGCGATAACCACCTCTCTCCTGCAGGTGCATTGTGCAGCACAGAGAGAGCGAGTTACCCAGGCCGGTGCCGATGCTCTGACCCTCCACTCACAGGACCTGGGGATGGGAGCTGGTGCTGGACTCCCTGCTCCTGCTCCAAGCGATAATCCTATTCCCTGCCCAGCTCTGGTTTCTGGCTTCAGAACACACAAGTCTAGGGCTTAACGCTCCCCTGCTCAGACTCAAGGGCATGGGATGCAAATGGGGAAGATAACGACAGCCCGACCCTCATCCCTCTGCCCTGGCCTCTCCCACCAGCTCCTCCCAGCTTGTCGCCCAGTCCTGAGCCAGCCCAGACACAGGCTGTCGGCATGGCTGTTGTCTCAATTCACAGGGCTCTGTCTTAGGGTTAAGTCACAAAGAGCAAGGCCAAGGTGAGCCTGGGCAGCCAAGCTTGTGAATGAATACTGCTTCTGCTGTGGAGCCAGGCTGCTCTTAGGGACCCCGTTCCATGCCAGGTGCTTTGTGCATGGCTGACATTGGGGCAGGCAGCTCCCTCCGCAGGGAGCAGGTGTCTGCCCCGTGGTGCCTCTCCGACATGACTGTGGGAGCCGTCTGTACTCCTGAGGCCGCTGTGCAGTCCACCCACCCCCAGGAGAGCTGGGCTTTGCCTTCCCTTAGAGCTCTAGACAGACAGGGGCTCCTGCTTGCCCAGGGGGGTGCTGGGAATCCAGCCAGCACACCGTTGCCAGTGTCCAGCCAGAGGGACAGGCTTGTCTTGGTCTGTGAACCTCATCCCTCCATAAGCAGCTTGTCTGGGGTATTTTGTCGTAGTAACAAAAAACTGACTTACGCGGGTGGGGGGGAGACAGACCCTCTTCCTTCACCCCAACCCCAGCAGTTACGCATTTGTTGGGCCTCTGTTCAGGGTTCCGAGGACGCCTGTGTGTGAGAACGGTGCCCCGATACTCGAAGGGTTGGAAGCCCGTGGAGCTCCGAGGTGTCCGAGAGCCTGGTGTTCTCACGGCCATGGCTAGCGTCAGAGAGACAGGTCCAGTCACCCACTGCGGTAACTGCCCGGCTGCTAGGTGCTCAACCCAACCTCTGCTTTAGAAACGCAGCTGGGGCTGTGCAGGCAGTTGGGACTGGAGAGCGTGTGAGGATGAGGAGGCGTTAGAAGCAGAGGGAGCTGGACCAGCCCAGGTGAGGCCGTGACCCAGGCGGGGATCAGCAACATGATGGCCTGCCTCCCTGGCCTACTGTGGCCTCGCATCTCCAGGAGTGGGCCTGGCAGAGCCGCTGCTGCTCAGAGGTGCTGCTCTCCCACACTGCAGCCAGCAGAGCCTACTCCTGCCAGGACCCCCAGCCCCTTGTCCAACATCTCTGAGCTCCCTGCCTCTGATGACGTGGAGCCCCAGCCTCTCCCCCGGTGCCCATCCACTACCTGAGCTGCCAAGGGGCCCATGTGGCCTCTCCACCACTCACCTCTTGTTCTCTGGCCACCTGAATCCCCTGGCCATTTGTCCCCGATCTCTCCCTCTGGGGTTGGGGCACCGGCTGTGTGGCTGCCAGACTCACCGTCTCCTTCGCCTTATTTTCTGGGCATCTCAATCTCCAGAGTTCCCTTCCTTCTCTGCTCTTGGATCTTTGTAAATCCCAGCCCTCAGGGAAGGACGAGGGAAGCCCGGTGAGTTTGCTGATCTGGTCATCCCAGTATCCGCTGCACCCCAGGCCTCGCTGGCAGGTACATTTCTGGTGTCTGGTGGGCTCCGGCAGCCTGCTCTCCAGGGCAACAGTCCCTGGCAGGCTCTCACCAGAGGCTGCGGCTTCTGACCAGGCCAGGGGCTCTGGGGCTGGCTATTGGCTTCCTAAGTGTCACTACCATGGTCTCACGAGGCCCTGGGCAGCCCCTCAGAGTCCACAGGGTGCCCATCACAATCCTGGATGTCAGAGGTTCTCCCAGCACTTTGTCTTCAGTTGGAGGATGGGTCAGAAGCTAAGGGTGTCCCTGGTGAAAGGGGAATTCCTCACTGGGCCACATGCACCCTTTTTTCTTTTTTTTAAAAGACTTATTTATTTATTTGAGGGGTAGAGTTACAGACAGTGAGAGGGAGAGACAGAGAAAGGTCTTCTATCCTCTGGTTCACTCCCTAAATGACTGCATGGCTGGAGCTGGGCTGATCCAAAGCCAGGAGCCTGGAGCTTCTTTCAGGTTTCCCATGTGGGTGTAGGAGCCCAAGGACTTGGGCCATCTTCTACTGTCTTCCCAGGCCATGGCAGAGAGCTGGATCAGAAGTAGAGCAGCTGGGACTTGAACCAGCGCCCATATGGGGTGCCGGTACCACAGGCAGAGGATTAACCTACTGTGCCACAGTACTGGCCCCACAGTGCAACCTCTCGAGAGTCTGCCCAGGGCCCATCTGCAGTGGGTTAAGCTGCCAGGTGGGACACTCGCATCCCATATCAGAGTGTCTGGGTTCAAGTCCCAGCTCCTCCACTTCCAATCCAGCTTCCTGCTAATGTACACCCTACTCAAGTAGTCGGGTTCCTGCCACCCGTGTGGGAGACCCAGATGGAATTCCCAGTGCCTGGCTTCAGCCTGGCCAAGCCCTGGCTGTTGCGGGCACTTGGGGAGTCGATAGCAGAGTGGGGTTGCAGCAGATGGGCCCTTGGCTGCACAGCTGAGAGCCAACCACAGTGGTAAAAATAGCCACACTCGAGCTGGGGAGATGGCCACAGAAGCCTTGGTCCTGAGCGGGCAGCCGGGTCCTGATGGCAGGCGGAAGGTGGAAGGCCAGCCGGAGATGCAGGAGAGCGGAGCAGAGGGTCCCAAGGCTGTGGAGTGTGTGATGCCCCTATGATGAGAAGGAGCACGAGACCAGACGGGAGCACGGAGCTCCTTGGAAGAACACGAGAGCTTATCAGGGCCGCGGACAGGCGAGACCCCAGAGCAGGACGACGCACAGGCGACAGACGGGGGAAGATTTTATACTTTGTAAAGCTACCGGGGAGATGAGGGAGGGGCTGCAGGTTTCCCCAACCGTATTAGGAAGGTTTAGGACAGCACTTACACTTTATGACCAGGAAGCAATACTGGTGAGGCCGACACGTGATGAGGGTCCTTGAGACAGAGAGAGAGAGAGAGAGAGAGAGAGAGAGAGAGTCGGAATAGAGGGATGAGACTCCAGTTGCACTGTTGTGGTTTGCTGTCACACACAGAGGTAGGGCCTGTGAGGTGGTCCCAGTGGTTTTGCTGGTGAGGCTGAGAAGTTCGATCCTGGTGCTTGGGTCACTGGGAGCTATGGCAGGTTTTGGAGCAGGGGAACGGAAGTGAGAAGAGAGGAATAGCTCGTAACTGAGCTGAGGGTGTTTGGACGGCTTCTTGAAGGAACTCATTCACTCATTCATTCACTTATTCATTCATTCATTCTTACCTAGCACCTTCCACGTGACAGGCGCCATTCACAGTGAGGAAGAAACAGACCAAGTGTCTGCCTGGAGGGTGCTTCCATTGTGGTCCAGAGAGACAAAGATCACCCACTTAGAAACATCCGTGCTGGGTGGGGGGCGGTGAGGAGCTGCGAGGGAGGGGGCGTGCTCCCCCACCAGCACAGTCTGCGGGGCGTGCAGAGGAGCTGGGGTCACACAGGCTGGAAGCAGGCATTAACTTCAGAGGACAGAAGCGTACTGGGGGGCAGGGGACAGAGTGGTGTTAGCAGAGCCTGCGGCTTGGTGGGGGGCTCCCAGGACCTGCCACTGGCCCATGCGGCTGGCTGGTGTAGACACTCCATGGGGTCAGCCGTGGGAGCTGACGTGGCCCGAGACCCACGAGGCTGAGGACTTCAGTCTTGCTCTGTGAGGCGCAGAAGGTGAGTGGATAGGAGCCGTGGGTTCCTGCAGAGCGCTCCCTTCCAAGCATAGAGTGAGGTGGCCGGGGCAGGGCCCCTCGAGCCAACTGAGCTGCCTCCTGTGCAATTACTGCCAGGCCAGCTCCGGGGAGGGCAGGGCCGGATCAGAGGCAGATCGTCTCCATATCAAAGGAGAGATTAGTTCAGAGCCCAACAACGTCAGATGTGCTGCCCGCGCTCGGCGGCGACGCCTCCTCCGAGACTGTCAGCTTTATATCTGCAGCTTTTTATCAATACGGGCAAATAATTCTCTCGACATTTATCATTTTAAACTGTCACAGTCCAGTGCCTTTCTCGAGGACCCAAATCAATACTGATCTTGGTTTGAATACTTTGCTGACAAGGTTCCTATTTGTAGATTCACAAGTAGAACTAATGTGTGTTAAAGCTATTCAGTTTGGCATTTTGCAGCTCCATTGACACATTAAATATAGGCGTTCACCGCGACGATTAACCTTACAACTATTAAGTAATAAAAATCCTGCTACATATTTATTAGCTGAGCATCGCGCTCTGGCGTGGTGTCTTTGCCAGCGGGAGGGAGACTGGACGAGGTGCGCTCGCTCTGTGCAGGGGGGCAGAGGTCGGGGGTCTTGGTGGGAGCAGAGGTAGCTGCTTTAGGGGGAGGGGCCCACAGGAAGCTCACGCCCACACAAGGAGAGTGGCAGCTGAGCTGAGGGCTCCTGGAGTGGGGCGCTCAACCCAGACTTCCTCCTTCCTGGAGCTGCTGAGTAAACACCTTGTTTCTTCTTGGACCTCGGTCTCCTCATCTGCGTAATGGGAGCAGACAGGGACCAGCGTGTGCTGGCCCTTCTGTAGTGTCACAGTGTGCATCGAGAAGGGTCAGCGGGCAAGGCTGCTCAGTCGGGGATGGGGGGCTCGGGCAGCGCTGGACATGGACGTTACAGGGAACACAGCATGGTCCGTGGGTAACTTGCTCACCGGGGCACAGCAGCAGGGACTGCCAAGCAGAGGGGTGCAGGTGTCCCTCTGAGGACCTCCCGCGTTCCTGACAGGGGGCTCCTTTCCTGGATGCTCTCCCCCGAGCCAGTGCCTGGAGGACCTGGTGCTCTCCTGAGCCAGTGCCCAGAGCGTCCCGAGAACCTGCAGACCCCTACCAGCATCCCTTGCCATTCTGCCTGGTTGGCGCCCACGCCCTTCCTGTTACTCAGAACTGGCGTGTGCTCCTGAGCAGGGGGCTTTGTGATGGGACAGGTGAGAGGTTCTGCAATGGGCACTCCTGAGTTCAGATGCCCTGGCCAGCCCCCGTGTCATGTATCTGCCCTCCCCATCAGCAATGATCACGACTCTGGCCCAGGGTGGGCTGGGGAAGGGGAGGAGGACACAGGCGTGCAGAACACACAGTGCAGTGGGGGGCGGAGGGGTTCACCACGCAATAAGAGCCAGAAACCAGAAAAGTCCGCTCAGAGGAAGGGGCCTCCGTTCTGAGACCCACTGGACAGGGATGACCCAGGGCACAAGGGGCCTGCTCTGACCACCAGCACTGGCCTCTCCAAGCCTTGCCTAGACAGCACGCCGTGGCCAGGCCAGCTCCGTGATCCACCCATGGCTCCCCCAGTCTCTTTGCTTGCAGGGAGGAGCATTTCCCTAAGGAATTGCCGGCGCGTCCAATCCCATCTGGACATCTGCTTGTGGGAGGGCCCCGGCTGACACAGGCAGGAAGTGCGTTGAGGGGCTGCTCTGGCCCCGGGGTGAAGGGTGTTGGGGCAGGGGGTTGTCATTGCCTGCTCACAGCAGAGCGCTCCACGGAAGTTTTTTTTTTTTTTTTTTTTTTTTTCCAGGCAGAGTTAGACAGTGAGAGAGAGACAGACAGAGAGAAAGGTCTTCCTTCCGTTGGTTCACCCCCGAGACGGCCACCATGGCTGGCGCTGCGCCAATCCAAAGCCAGGAGCCAGGTGCTTCCTCCTGGTCTCCCATGGGGTGCAGGCCCCAAGCACTTGGGCCATCCTCCACTGCCTTCTCGGGCCACAGCAGAGAGCTGGCCTGGAAGAGGAGCAACCAGGACAGAAGCCGGTGCCCCAACCAGGACTAGAACCCAGTGTGCCGGCGTCACAGGTGGAGGATTAGCCTAGTGAGCTGCAGCGCCGGCTAGAAGTTGCTTTTTAAACTGCTCAAACCAAGCGGAGATGAGTGCCCTGTTGGCTGCTGAGGGCAGAGTTGGGCGTCAGAGCCACCACTCCTTGGGAGTCTGGGTGCATGTGTGTCACGCTGTGACCTCCTTCTGGTGGAGCAGGCTCAGGGGTCCTGTCTCCATGAGCATGGAGGAGAGGGGACCTCAGAGGGGGCTGTGGTGTGAATACCATCCGGCCCCTAAACTCATTTCAGCCCCAAAGCCATCTGCTGCTGACACTGGGAGGGAAGAGTAGGGCGGGGGGTGGGATGGAGGGGCGTGCTCTGGGCAGGAAGTTCTCAAGAGAGGGTGGTTATGAGAGCCTCGGGTGGGTCCAGCCACCCTCACTGCTCTCCCGCTCGCTGCGCCTTCCTCCCTCTGCTCTGCCACTGCCCTCCACTGCCTTCCCCAAACCTATGGGGCTGCCAAACGTGGACTTGAACCTTCCAGATTGTGAGCCCAGGCAGCCCCTCTTTATGAAGCCCATTGCCTGCGCTATCTGGTTGCAATAAGGAAAAGCTGCCGGGGGTGGGCAGGGGTTCCTGGCCCTGGCTCACAGCAGCTTAGAAGGAAGGTGATTATCGTCCACTAAGCACTGCAGGGGCCCTGGGATGCATGGGCTCCTTCTGTGTCACCCATGGCGTCACTGGAGACTCTTGTCCCTCGCCCTGCACTTCTGGGGCGGGGCCACACGTGCTTTCTTTCTGAGGACCTCAAGAGGGAGGAGAAACAGGCCCAGGGTGGCGCTGCCTCTTCCACCGCTGAGCGGCCAGGCCAGCGTGTGACCCAGTCACTGGAGGCCTGACCTTGCAGGGCAGCCATGAGCTGGAGGTCGCAGCTATGGGGTGGAGCCCACAGCAGGGGGAAGGGGATGTGGCTCTGCTCTCTTGGAGGTCCGAAGGGCGCATGGAAGGGCTTTCCCAGGAGGCAAGGGCTGGGGAGACTCGGTGCTGGGTGGAGCTGGGGCAGCAGGCGCCGGATCCCTGGGCCCGGCGCCTGGGGTCTGTCCCAGCGTGGTGCACTGAGCTTGCCACTGTCGGCGGGCGTTCGCCAAAGCGCGCCTGGCTCTCCTCTGTTTCTATTTTTTATCTTGATGGAAAAATTGTGATTTTCACACTGTCACGAAACCAATAGGTCCCTGACATATGTTTTTGTAATCTGTGTGGCTGGTTTCCTGTACTTCTGACAGTTCTATTACGTGTCTGACAGTTATATAAAATTCTTCCTTGGGGAAGCTGAGGGGGGCGTGCGCCTGCCTTCCCCCCTGCTCCCCACGCTGACTTACATTTGGCGATTAAAGAACAGTTTGGGTGAGTTTCTTGTTCCTCTCCCTGTGTTAGCTGCCAGCCACCCCCTGGGGGAGAACAGGGTGAGTTTTACCGGCAGCAGTCACACTTGGGCACCCTGAATGCCGAGAAACATGGCAGGGTGGGGGGACCACAAGGCTGATCTGGGTTGACTCAGGAATCCCCCGGGGGTAAGGACGCTTCACCCATGAGCTCCACATGGGGCTGACTCCTCTGAGCATCCCCCCCCCTCCTCACCGCCACCCCCCCCAGCACTGTGGGGAGGTGACCCTGGGGGGTGGGGCAGAGCCAGGGCTGCGTGTGCATGTGTGTGTGTGTATGGTTGCTGAGTTCAGGGTGTTGGTTCACCCCCCAAATGGCTGCCATGGCTGGTGCCTGTGCCGATCTGAAGCCAGGAGCCAGGTGCTTCTCCTGGTCTCCCATGCGGGTGCAGGGCCCAAGCACTTGGACCATCCTCCACTGCCTTCCCGGGCCACAGCAGAGAGCTGGACTGGAAGAGGAGCAACCGGGACAGAACCGGTGCCCCAACCAGGACTAGAACCTGGTGTGCCAGCGCTGCAGGCAGAGGATTAGCCAAGTGAGCCATGGTGCCAGTCCATGCATTCACTTTTGCAAGAGCTGGTGCCAGCCCCCATGCTTGGGGGATCCTAGGGTCTGTTTGGGGGTCTACCAATGGCAGTGGCTTCCCATGGAGGGGGCCCTGCTCTGGGCAGAGCCTGTCCCTGAACTTGAGGAGCTCCTGTGTGTGTCCACGGCACTTATGGGGGGGGGGCAGAACATGCCAGCGGGAGGTGCTGGGCATGCGTGTGTATCTAACACGGTTGCCCCTGCCCACCGCTAAAGGCAATGTGTGTCTTCAGTATGGCGGGGGAAGGAAGTCGAAGTGGTGGGAGGAGATTCCGGAGGGAGGGGACCTGGGGACCAGCGTCTCCTTCGCCTTGAGCATTGCCTGCCCCGGTAAGCGGGAGCCTGGTCACCCTGGCCCTGTTATGGCCTTGCCAGGAGGCCTTGGGCAAACCCCATTACCTCGGAGCCTCTGACAAATGAGGAGGAGGTGCTGTACCTTATCTCGGGGCTTCTCCGCGCAGCGCACACAAGGTGGCCCCAGGACCCCCAGACGGCACCCGAGGCGCCGTGTCTCCGCCCGGCCTCTCAATCGACTCAGCCACTCCGATTTCCCCTGTCTATGGAAAACGAGGCGTCGCCATGGCAACTGCCACATTCCCCGCTTCCGTCCTGACGATGCCTCTGAGAGACGGAGCAGCTTCTCAAAGAGATACACTTTTCAACATGTCATGTAGAATTCTGTACTTGTTAGGGAAAATCGCATTTCCAGTGAAATGACATGCTGCTCTCGGGCCCGCGGGCGCACCTCGCACTGCTCTTAAACAAAGACTTCCATTCACGGCCGCTCGAGGGGCTCCCTGGCCGCCCGCCGGCTCCCCGCCCCTCCCCAGCCCGTTCCATAAAACATGAAGCTAGCGACAGGGCCTGGGTGGAGGGCAGGCCTCCCCTAGCTGGGCCCCGGGGTGCTTGGAGCCGGCCTTATGTCACTGCTGACGACGGCCAGGCCTGGGGTGTGGGTGCCTTGGCCCTGCTGGTGGGGTCGGCGAGCAGGGGAAGACAGCTGGCCCGCTCCCCTGGTGTCCCTCGGCTGGCTCCCCAGGCCCTGACCTGATCTCTCAGTGCGGTGTTTAGGGGCCGGGTCGGGGAGCCTCTAGCCTTCCTCCTTGGCCAGCTCTAAGGCGCATCAGTGCAGGGCCGGTGACCCCAGCAGGTCCGCCTGGGACCTGGTGGGTTGAGCAGAACTGGGCCAGCTGTTCCTTCGCTATTAAAGCAGTGGGCAGTGTGTGTGTGGCGGGGGGTGTGGGGGGGTGGGGGTGGGATAATGCTGGCCTTGCCACTGCTGTCCTTGGTGTGACCTTGGATCTCCCCTTCTTGGTCCCCTTCTTGGTCTCAGGCCATGGGGGCAGTGGGCAGGCTCCTGGGAGGTTGCTCAGAGCATTTGTCTCTTGCGCTCAGCATCATGTCTGGATCCCCAGTCTCCCTGGAGTCTTTGCTCAGAGGCTCTGAGCTTCCTTTGTCCTGGGCATCGTGACCCACTGATGGCCGTGGCCCAGACACTGGGCTGAGCCCCCATGTGCGAAACCGGCTGCCTTTACTTCTGGGCTCAAGCCAGAGGCTTCTATCCTCAAAACCTGCCTCTGTACATGGGCTCCTGCTGGAAGGGCAGTATGGACCAATGCTGAGTGACCAGGCTAACACTCTCAAGCCCTAGGGAGCAGCACTGTGGCACAGTGGGTGAAGCCACCACTTGCCAAGCCAGCATCTCGTTAGAGCACAGTTCGACTCCCAGTTGTTTCAGTTCTAATCTAGCTCCCTGCTGATGTGCCTAGGAAAACAGTAGAAGATGGCCCAAGTGCTTGGACCCCTGCTATCTATGTGGGAGACCCGGATGGGGCTCCAGGCTCTTGGCTTGACCTGGTCCAACCCAGGCCATTGCAGCCATTTGGGAAGTGAACCAACAGATGGAAGACTCTCTCTCTCTCTCTCTCTTCTCTCTCTCTCTCTCTCTCCTCTATAACTCTTTCAAACAAATATAACAAATATTTTTTTAAGAAGTCAGGCACTGATGCCTTCAGATGAATCTGAATTAATGCAGTAAGCATTCATCATGGATCAAGGCCAAGTGCACACTCACACATTCAGTGAAGCCGCTGGCAGAGCACTGGGCATGTGCCGTCCTCATCCCTGATGGTCGCGCTGGCGGTCAGGCACAGAGGGGTGCTGGGGAAGCTGAGATGACGGGCAGGAGCTGGCAGAGGGGAGGGGCGGCTGGCTGCAGCCCGTCTGGACACGGGTGGGACGTGAGATGCCCAGCGTGGCTGGTCCTGTGGCTGCACGGAGGGGAGGTCCGGCTTCCGGGCTGGCTCCTCCGGGCTCCTCCATTCTTTCCCACGGGAAGGGGCACTCCCCAGCAGCCCATCCCCAGCTGTGCTGGCCTCGTTCTAGGGAGTAAGGCCACCACGGTGTTGTCAAAGCCCCTGGGACTCCATGTGGGTGGCAAGGGACTCTCAGGTCAGCTTCCTTGCACATGCCGGTTACCTGGGGGTCTGTTGTTCTTGGACAAACCCACCGGCAGCCGTCCCTCTGCCGAGGGCCACAGGTCATCTGTAGGGTCCAGTGGGTTTTGGTATTGGACATGGGAGCAATGAAGAAATAGCAAAGCTTGGGTCAGATGTGAGCTAGTGGAACTTGTCCCTAGGCCAGGAGGGCGGCTTTATCGGAGGGGCTTGTCTCCCGGAGACCAGTGACGCTCAAGGCGTGGTCCACAGGCAGAGGCTGCTCTGCATCGGAGGGCAGAGCCCAGGCGCCACCAGCGCGAGTGTCATCCGGCTCCAGCGGTCCATCCAGCACCAGGCGGCACGTAGGTCAAGCCAGGCGGCATCCACCACACGGCCCAGGCATGTGGGGGCCGCGCCGTCTGGATTTCTCTTAAGTGCGCTCTGTGGGCTTGCGAGACTTCCCGGGTGAAGGAAGCAGCACGCTGCTTTAGGAGTGGGCGCAGACGTTCATGGTCACCGCGGCTCCCGACGCTGTCCTCCGAGTCGTAGCTGGCTAACCCCTCCCTCAACTACCTCCCCAAATGACACAGGACAACGGCACCTCGCTCCCTGCGCCAGGAACCTCCCACAGGGTCTCCCTGCCTGCAGCCTCGCCTGCCCCAACCCAGCGCAGCTACAGTGTGTCCCGGGACGCACGCCTGGTCCTGCCGCCTTCCTACCAGCCAGTCTGTGGCGGGCTCCGCTGCTCTGAGTCGAGTCCAGCTTCCTTGGTGCGGCTCGGGCCCTTGACACCTGTCCGTCGCCTCTCGCTCTCTCCGGCAGCTCTCCCAGGGTGCCACGTTTCCCCCACTTCCAGGCTCTGCCCACGCTCTGGCTCCTGCGTGCAGCCTCCTATCTGCCTCTTCCAGCCGGGTCACTCCTCCTTCCTCACTGAGAGGCTATCTGGGAGCCCCCCCCCCGCAGCACCGAGGATCCGATGGATGCAGACGGCCTCAGCTCTGTGGCAGAGAAGTTTTGCTTCTTCCATGTCAATAGACTCTCCTCCTGGTTGGGCTCGGCGCCACTCACCACCACCACCACAGCGCCAGCCTCCCTCACAGCCAGCTGAGGTCCTGCCACTGAATCTGTCAATGGGACATAAACCAAAGTGCTCTCGGGAAGAGTTCTTAGGAGGTGGGGTGCAGGCACCTTCCACCTCTCTGCCTTCCTGCTAGCTGGGATGTGCATGTGATGCCAGGGTGTGGGCAGCCCTCCGGGCCACGTGAGTGGGAGTCGCATGCTAAGGTTGGCAGAGGCAGGAGAAAAGATGCTTGGTTCTCTGATGAACTTCACGCTGCCCCGTCACTCTGGACTGCTTGTCTTCAGACTTCCTTTATACAAAGGAGAAATAAGCCCCTGTCTTGCACAGTCACTGATATTTTTGGGGCTTTCTCTTCATCACAGGCAAATTTAATTCTAACTGATGGCAGGTGCGAGTGACTGAGTACCTGATAGCCAGGAAGGCATCTAGTTCTTCCCTCTACCCAGACATCTGGAGGAGGGAGGTTGTTCCAGGGTCCATTCAGCTGTCTCTTTGGTACCCGTGAGTCTCTCCGCTGTTTCCTCCTGGCACAAGATGGCTTCAGCAGCTCCAGCCCTCACATCCTCCCATGGCATCATCCCAAGTGGAGCCGGAAGTAGGGAAAGACCCTCTTCTCCCACACCTCTCCCTTGACCTTGGAGGAAAACCCTCTCTGGGCGTTCCAAGCAGACTTCCCACAGTGCCTTGCTGGCCAGCACTCGAGCTGGGTGGGGATGGGAGTGAGGCTGGGACAGGGAGCCTCTGGCTGCATAGTAGAAGCAGACAATGCTAGGGCGGGGACGGCCAGTAGCGCCTTTGCATTGCCCCTCCGTGAAGCGTCTACCTGCTGGTTCTCCCCAGGCTAGAGATTGCTGAACACAGTGACTGGCAGAAGGAGACCCCCGAGCAGCGCTCTTGAGGGAGGAGCCCTGGAGCTTGGCGCCCTGGGTTCAAATCCTGGCTCCACTGCTCTGCTGTGGTGGAGCTGGCACTCCGTGCCCCGGTATTAAAAAGGGGGCGACTCTTCTCACCTGCGGTTTGAGGAGTGAGTTCAGACACGTGGCGCACGTTGGAATCACACGCAGAGCGGTGCGTGGTGGATGACGGTGAACGAATGGTGCCTGAGAATGGAGTGGGGTGTGGCCAGGCGTGGCTGGCACGGAGCCAGGGTCCAGTAAATGAGCACGGATCGCGTCTGTCTGTCGCTGTGGCCCAATGCCTGGCACGTAGTGGGCCTTCAGGAACTGTTTGCTGGAGGAATGAATGAAGGTTTCCTGCAGGAAGAGGGAGTGGGGTCATTGTGTCCAGCCCTCTGCCTCTGATTATTAAACAGCTGCCTGTTGCTCCTCTTCACCCTCCTCCAGGCAGGCGTCAGGCACCCTCTACTTCCTTGTTCACAGGGAAAATAAAGAGAAACAGCCCACGAGGACACCCCACGTGCCAACCCCTACATGGGCGCTTTGGGGAGCCGGCCGCCCGCCCTCCCGCCACCAGCTTTGATCCCAGGGGCAGCGGGCCTGGGGGCCATGTCATGGTCCTGAAGGGGCCCCGACCCTTCCGCGGGGTGCCGCGCTGGCTGGGCGGTGTGGATTTCCGGTGTAAACACGGCCCATCTGGGAGAAGCCCAGGTGCCATGTTCTGAACAGCTCAGAAGCTCCAAGCTCGGAAGGCTTTGAAATGCAAATATTTTGAAGGAAACATAAGGTAAACACGAGTGCTTATTTCCCCCTGATGAAAACAAGATGCTGTTTGCTCGGAAATGTAAATAGGGCCCCTCGATCGCTTTTAAAGAAAAGCCACGTCTCGGATTTTACGGCCAGGGTCTCGTCTCCTTCTGAAAAAGCACGTGCAGCCGGCTGCTTCCCTACCCTGCCGGAACCGCACCCCAGTCTCTGTCCCGGACGCCCATCCTGCTGGCGTCGCTAACTCCTCCCACGAGCATTCTAAATCCGCGGCCTCAACCCGCATCGAATTTTTCCAAGGCACTGGGATGGCGACGGTGGGCGGGGGGCGGGGATGGGGGGGTCTGTAGCCAAAGGCACGCCACTGACT